CTGAATGAATCCATTAGAGGTCCCTATTCAAGTGTATATATATATATATACCTTTTGTATGTTTCATTTCAGGAAATATTTGTGTTAGTTACTAGTTCTAAAATATTCTTTTTTTTCCAATATGAAAATCTGTTTTCATATTGTTATATTATTTATGACTCCTATTTCAATGAGAACACAATGAGTCTTTTTGTATGCCATGTTAAAAATAATTAACATTGTTTATTTGAAAAAAATATATATGCAGCATTTATATACGGACAGAGTGTATTTATATTTGACAAAAATAACACACATTTGTTTATTAACATAAATAAAGCTTATTTTCCACTACTTAATGGACAACAATATTAACAATAATCTTATTTTTAAAAATCCTTTCTGTGATTATTTTTATTTTTATTATTGTTATTATTATTATACTATTAAAAATTATTCAGATAATGAACATATTATGATGCCTACATGTTGCCATGTTTCTATTACATACTATCCATTATTTCAATGATCAATGATTGGAATTATCAGAAATGATTACAGTCCATAGTTAGCATTATGTAACCGTTTGTGTGTGTGTGCATTAATATGTTAATGTGAGTGTATGCTCAAATAAAGAGAAATAAGAAAACATATAGATAACTAGGGAAAAAAGAATTGAACAGGGAAACGGAAGTTAACAACAGTATAACAAATGCATTCAATGACTTGTATTTTGGGGTTTTCTTTTTCTTAGGCATTTTTATACCTGGAGGCTAAACATATTTGTACTCTTCAATGGAAACGTTTTTTTTTTCATTTTGAATTGAATTTTTACAAAATAAAAAAAATGAACAACTGACTCAATTTCCTTTAGGCATATTATCATTTAAAGGCATATAAGACTGTTTACAAGCATATTGCATAAAGGAAACTTGTGTGTCTATGAACTTTGAGTTGAAAAAAAAACCAATTAGAGAAATAAGTTTTATGCTTAATATTTATTTTTTGTGAAGATAGATTATCTACATTTGTTTTAATACATAAGTTTTTGATAAAAAAAGTGAAAAATTAAATTCTTGGTACTGATATATATATATATATATATATCAACTGCTGATAAATAGATAACCTTTAAAATTATTATTATTTATTTATTCTTATTTTTTATTTAGTCTTATCGTCACATTTAATGAAATCATTAGGATCAACAAAAATGTAAAAAGAGATAATCACAGATAAGATATAATAGTAAGTATAAATTGTGTTACATATAACATAAAATAAATATACTTTCTCAATCACAAAAAAATCTAGTTTCAATCATATGAAGTCATGACTAACAGGTTATTAGTTATCGTTTTTTAATTAGTAAAATGTATTTCTGCCAGTTAAAAATAGTATGTGCAAAAGCATGTATGATAGTATAGGTCGTAAAGACGATAATAATTCTTCTGCTCATATTTATCAAAGTCTTTGTAAGTTAAAAATAATATTTGCAGAAGCGAATATAACAGTGTACACCATAAAGACGATAATAATCAAGAATTTATCCATACTGTATGATTTCTACTGTTCATATTTATCGAAGTCACTAATCGATCAATGTTAGATCATCATTAGAAACCTAGAAACACTAGAGGGCCGTTTCGCCGTAGTTTTGGATTCATTAGCAGTGCGCATTTGTGATCGCCGCGTGCGAGAATCCAACCTGGGACCTACGGCCTAGAGTACGATCATAGCCTTTAGACCCTGAGCCGGTATCCAACGATGTTTATGTCTAACCTCAATCAATTTACGGTATTGCGTAAACTCATCTATTGTCTTCGGTAAGTAACTGCCTACACCTTACAAGGTTGAACTCTACTGGTAACGCCTTGGCACTTAAACTCCGAGGATTTCCTCACAAAATTATCGATTCCTGATTTAAATGAAACTCAGCAATCTGCATAACCCTATAAAGTTCTTGTAAAATTAAATATTTTTCGGAGTGAAAAACTCATAGATAAAACATATTTTCACTTTGTTAGTGATATGTGAATAGTTAAATTGATCCGGTGTATTTTTTTCACAAAAATATCCAGAAATCAATTTTTCAGTTTGATAATAATGCAATCATTAGTATAACGCCTTATGGAAATCGAGAAGTAATGAGAATCAATTGAAGTTGAATAAGTAATTTATTGAATAAAGAGTCAATAATCTTGAGATTAAGCCTACATTACAAAATTTGAAGGTTTTTGTTTTGGAACTAATAAAGTGGAAATGCTGACGTACTCCCTACTACGGAGAAAAAGCCATTCATTGCTGACTTTCAACAGTCAATATATGATGTTAAGTGTAAGATAGATGAACTAATTGAAGACTTATGTCAAAATAATTTTTTTTATCAAGTCAATAAAAAATATGCTTTGGTGGTGAAATATTAATTCTTAATTAAAGAGTAAAACATGTAATCTAAGCATTGTATTCCATTCCTTTAGTATATAATGATGGTTTTGTGAGTAAATACGTAGACATATGAAGATGCCAAGTTAAATCATAAATGAAACGAGACTTAATAAATCTATTTTTGAAAGTCATATAAAACAATCCTGAGAATGACTTATTAAGTGTACAGCTTCTACTATGATATTCAAACAAGAGTCTAGTGAACATATTTATCCAAATATGAACATTTTTCATGTTTATTTTTCTAAACGGAAACATTACTATTATTTGACAGTACACATTGTAAAATTACTTGACATTTCAGAAAATTAGAATGAACAGTAATCATAAGCCTATAAATATATCCATATATATATATATATATATATATATATATATATATATATATATATATATATATATATATATATATAAATGAGTCATTTAATACGTGTTTTCAATCTTACCGAAGCATTATTCCACTTGCTCTTTTTATCCCATAGAAAAATCATCAGTTCTCCAGCATCTTGTTTCTTTTCATGTGTGTAAGTTAAACAAAATACAAAGTTGACTAAATTATGATAATATTGTTTTCTAGCTTTGCAACTTTTAAATCGGCTTTTTCTTGTCAAACTGATAGATTATTTATTCTTGGGATATACAAATATTTTTACAGAAAATGATAACATTTCTCTCAAAACTATTAATTTCTTCATAAGTAAGGAATAGAATAATTCCTTGTTGTATACAATAATAGTTAATTCAATGGTATCGAAGTAAACTGTCATGAAACATCTGCTTATATGTAGACATAGTTCTCTTAGAGAAATTGATTAATTATCTGTTTTAACAAAGTGATAAAATTCAAATATTCACAATATTAACTAACATGAAATGAAAAAAATTAGTATTCAAAAGAATTTGAATGCCTAATTTATGTAGACTTAATTGGTTGTGAACTACGATGATGTGAAATTTAAAGATGCATAAAAAAAATGCTTTATCCTGGCCGATTATTTCCCATGCATCGAAATATATCTGAGCCAATGACAACGGTAGGCTTTTTTTCGAAATGTTAAAATGCACATTATCGTTGAAACTCATTTTCAAAATAAAACCAATATCAAAGTTTTAATTTAATATTTTTCTTTAGCCGTTTCAAACAGAATCTATAAACTGTGCGAAAATATTGACGCGAATTTTGAGATTTTAAATCCTTAAATCTGTTTAGAAAGTATTATTTTGTTTAAGTCATGTCCATCAAGGAAATATTGTTACAAATCGATTTCGCATATTCTAATATTTTCAGACAGATTTTTGGAGATTAGTGTTTTTACACATTTGAAATCATCAATCAATCATTGTTAGACCACTACTAGGAACCTGGAAGCACTGGACGGCCGTTTCGTCCTGGTATGGGACTCATCAGCAGTGCACGTTCACGACTCCTTCACCTCGCAGGATTCGAACCCGTGACCTTCGGTATTGTGCACGAACGCCTATCCATCGGACCACTTGGCCGTCCCATACCAGGACGAAACGACCGTCCAGTGCTTCCTGTTTTCTAATATTGGTCTAACAATGATTGATTGATGATTTCAAATATTCTAATATATTTGGAAAAGAAAAAAACATTTACATCTTGGTTAGATAATTCACTTCAAATTTGTCTTTATTACGTAGCTAAATTCAAATGATGTAATGGATACGAGAAGTTAATGTATTAAATTTTTTTGCTTTTTTCACGCTTAAATTCACTTGATTTGTTTTGGCACAGATTCCATCGAAAAAAGATGGGCAAAAAAATATTAATCTTTTTTTATTTATGAACTAATCTCTAAAAATAATTTTAGTTTCGAATTAAAAGATCATAATTAGTGAAGCCATATAGATTGTAATATGGAATTTAAGCCATATAGTAATAATAATAATAATAATAATAATAATAATAAATAGATTAGTTAGTTTCTGTTACATCACTGATGTATTCATTCGACCATAAATAAATAGTTAATATAAAATATTTTTAAAAAAAATATTAGCTAAAGATCACATGAATTCAATGTGACAACACATTAAAACAGGTTAAACTATTTGATAGATAATCAATGGAAAAAATAATTGAAATTCATTTTTTAAAAACCTGAATATCTATTTTCCCATTATATTGTTATGGTAGTAGTAGTAGTAAATGGAGGATAATGACAAGTTTGATAAAACAGAAATTTTGAATGACAAAAAACAAAACAACATTTTCTACTTGATTTTATGACTGCTTTTATATGGTCAGCCTATATTCTGCAGTCTGTATCTCAGAAGCTGGATGATGTGAAACAGTACAAGATATAAGTTAAGGGACACTTTGTTCAGTACAATATTCACAGTAATTTAAAATTAAACAACTCTTTTTTTTACATAAATGAACTATGTAAGACTGAAGACCTATTCATAACTGGGAAATCAAAAATACTTTACAAAATGTATCAGTAACTATCCCCTAAGGGTTCACACAAGCTTTAAATTTTTTAAATCAGGTAAGTTTTTCTGTTAAAAAATAAATTAAAGAGAAAGGAATGTGACTGAAGGATGCTTACCATGAAAGTAGCATTTAATACGGAGATATGAGACTGCCAATCGTAGAATAGACAATTTATCCAATTTCATGATGACATTTTGCTCAAATGGTAATAGACTTGCTAGATGTTCTAACTCGGAATTTAAACGTTCTCGATGCCTTTTACTCGGATTAGATTTTACATTTTGATCTGGTCGAATTACAGCTGAACATGTTGGTTTATTACTAGATGTGTAAATGAAAGAATAAAAGGTTACGTTAAAATAGGGTGAAAGAATTTAAACAAACAAGAAATATTGTTTTCTAAAGAAAGTTAACTAACCCAAGGTAGCTTATTTGGTCATATTTTCCTACCTTATAAATATATTTTTAGTGAATTTCCAGTGAAATGATTCTAGTCTTACGTCATATTCCACATAATTCTAGTTAATATGTTCGCTTACATATTAGATAATGTGCATAATGCTTCTGGAAACTCAAACTAGAATTTACAGGGTTATAATCATCTTACATTCAATGTAATTCAACTTTTAGAATGCACATTCATTTAAGTAAGTTCTTTACAATCAAATAATAATATCAAATCACATTGTACGTCTACTTATTCAAGTCTAATATTTATATCTTGACAATAATCATTATCAGTGTTTATTGAGTGATGAAGTTCATTGTGCCGTTACTCATACTACTACTCATGAATAAAATCATCAGTATATTGATAGTATCTTGATATTAGATTGCCAATTTGTATGACATCCATCTGTCGCGTGCTTTATTCTATTTTCTACTTTTGGTATATGGTGTTTTACAGAGAACGACGATTCGATTGTTTAGCATTGGTGGTGAAGTTTTATTGTATTTTTGTTGGGCGGAACAGATTTCTTATTGATTTCCATTCTCAGTATTCTAATCATTCGAGTCTGTGAGAAATTGAATTTTGAAAGAATGATTTTGTTGGAAGTGTATTTTCACTACCCCTGTCAATCCATAGACAAATGTGAAAGTGAATATTTGATTGTGTGTAGTTAGTTAGTTAGTTCGTTGGCTGGCTTGCTTATTTGAAACAAGGTCACACATGGAATATAACGAAATGCATGCATGAATGTATTTAGATAGACAGGTAGGAGTGAGAGAGAGAGAGAGAGATAGTGAGGATGAGTTCACTTGCCACTGTTTTTTGTAGAGATATGATCTATATAGGAGAGAAGTAACCATCTGTTTAATAATTTACTTTCTCTAATATTCCTAATTCCGTTTTAGTTTTTCACTTTCACTATATATTAACTACATTAGATGGAATATTGAATAGATTTAGAAGTAATTAGAACAAAAATTATCATAGAACTGATTTAATGGCTCCATTTATGGCTTATGGCCAATAATTGGATGGTGAATAGTGTTTTACTCAAATCACATGAAGATTCTCCTGCAAATAATATCTGTGAAATTAAATTATATTATTCTTTCTACTTGTTTGCTTCTTTCAAGTGACATTCAATGATTAGTTAACATTGGATCTTGAACAAAGTTAATAATAATATCATATATTTTTTCACAAAAACAACTGCTTGATATAATGAAAATAATTTTGTTTTCAAAATTTTAACTTAACACATTTGGAAATGAGGGTCAGTGTTACATATTAAAGGAATCATGAAATTAGATTTTAACCGTTTTATTCCAGTTCACTAGCCTGACAGTAATTTACTTGTTTCTGAATTCCATCATATTTAAATAATATGGATTATTAAGGAAATCCTAATACTCTAAGTAACATACCGATTAGATAAAAGGGATTATTAGTATTGTAACTAGTAAGAGAATGGGAAGTTCCCAAAATCGATTTAACATAGATTGCTAAAAGTTAAAATATGATTTATGAATGAACTACAATTTTTACTGTAGCGGCTGTTCAAACATCTTATCACGTGATCAATATGAAAAACTGAGTTCTTCTTAGTGGCTCAAACTTAAAAATAAAATCATCTTGAACAAATAATGCAAGTTAATAAATGGAAATTTTACGATATGCAGAGATTTTTTTACAATCAAGAAAAATCACATCAAATAAATCGAAGATATTAACACTCACACAATGAAGACATAGAACAAGAGGGGTTGTTATTCAAATAATTTATGACTCGACTGTATCAATACAAACTCCATAACTTAGTTTGAAAATATAATCATATTAAAACATCCACTAATAAACAACGAAATTAATATCACTGACTAATTATAATTTAGTATATGATCGTTAATATTTTAGTAGTATATATTAACATTAGAATAACATTTGTAGAGAAGATGAAACTGCATTCAGTTTGCTTGTTTCGTACCATATAACTGACGACATGAATTATGTTTTACTCAAAGAAATGTCTTGAATAAATTTCGATGAACACAAGGAATTTTACATTAATGTTTGATGTCTTTATGGTTACATACATTTCTGGGCAATTTTATTTCATCCTTTTATTTCGGGAATAGCTGGGACGGTTGAGTATCAAAAAGGAGTGTAACTCTTGTGATTGTGAAAGTATACTAATATAATAATAATTAAACCCTAACGGATGTTGATATGAAATTTTTACAAAGTTAATTGTTAGAATAAAAAGCATACTAGATGTATCATTCAAACTACTAACCTTTTAGGATTTTTTCTGCGTCGTTTCGTCGCATACATAGTTTTAATAACCCAGTCATCGACCATTGCTGAAGGTTTGTCAAATTTTTGTACGTAAGTGGCAGCGATACAGAGTATACAATTCTTTATAAAATGTTCCAGGCAGTTTTAAAAACGATTTTTTGGCAAGGTCGATAAATATCTCTATGAAGATACTTGTCAAAATTATTTTTTCGGTATTATGTCACGATGGTCCGCTGATATTAAGTAACAACAAAGTAGCAATAGTAGTGCTAACAGTAACAATGTTAGCAATGATAACAATGATGATAATTGTAAACTGTATTGATTTTCATCAACGTTTCTTGCTCAAAATATGAAGAAAGTCACTAATTCGATTTAAGAATCACTTATCAACTTTCATTGGTCGAAATCGATGCGTTCCGTTTCTGACGTACGGAAGAAAACAAATATCTGCATTCCGATTGGTTGAAAATTAAAATATGTTAATATTTGTGGGATAAGTGGTAAGAGAATTTTTTATTAGAGGGTGTGTGAGGAAAGAGAAAGAAGCTTACAATAATTTTGCTAATTTACCTACCATTCTTTTTTTGGGTCCTTCATCTTACAGCAGTGTGTCCCATGAATAATTACAAAGATCGTGAAATAAAGTCAAAAAATTGTACAGAACATGAAATCTATTTTGTACATTTTTTCTGTGTTATGTTTCTACCGAAAGTATCAATAAAGAAAAGGTATCATATACCATGAAGGTTATTTCTTCTATCACACGTTTCATCAAGAAATATTGTGATGTTATTCGTCAGTGTGGAGAAATGATATGTTGAATGAAAAAATCAAACAACTGTTCATCTAGTCTAGCAGAACTGAGTATATTACATTAAATTATACACTTCGATTAAATAATTCAATATAATTTTCGATTAGAGTTAGTGTTAGATTAGTGTTTTTACACATTTGAAATCATCAATCAATTATTGATAAACCACCATTAGAAACCTGTCCCAGTGGTCCAGATGTTAGGCGTTCGCGCACAATACCGAGGGTCCCGCGTTCGCATCCTGCGAGATTCAGGAGTAGTCAATGCGCACTGCTGATGAGTCCCATACCAGGATGAAACGGCCTTTCAGTAATTCCAGGTTTCTAATAGTGGCCTAACAATGATTGATTGGTGATTTCAAATGTGCAAAAATTAAGTATAACTCCACCTGGAACACTTTAAGGCCTGCTGCCAGGCTCAAACCTGAATAAAGGCGGAGAGGTGGTCATAGGGTTAGCGACCGCATCTTGTACAAAACTAACTTACTAAAAAAACGCTAACCAGAAAAACCCCTACTAATTTAATTTATATCAGAGTTACTTTGTATTAAATATTGTTGCAAATATTTTCACGAATATAGTTTACTTACTGTTGGGTATGTTAGATCCCCAGAATTCACTCGATAAATGTCTTTATTTCGGATTTCATTCATGGGCTGATCAGTTGACCTTGAGATCACATTCCCACTAGGAAAAGCTTTTGCTGTGATTGGTTACTGTGTTATTTTTGTGTGCTATTTTTGTGACTCGTTCATGGTGCATAAATAAACGCGATTTGTATGCTTGAACTCATTGTGCTAGTTGGGTGTTCTTAACATACACTTTTTACGCTACATCAAGACTTCTGATTAGTTTCTTTGGGTCAGCGGATCAGATTAGCCTACTTGGACTCTGGTTCATTGTCTCGTTCTTGTTTATCGACTAAGGTGAACCCGTAATAGCTTCAAGCATACCTAGTGACGAGCATAACACTTACATTTCACACAGTTAAGGTGGTCGAAAATATGAATTATCGGTTTTAAAAACATAATTCACCTGGAGACATCTGATTAAGTAAAATAACAGAGCATGTCCTAAAAGTTAATACTATATATATACAGCGATATACGAAAGTTTTGGAAGGAATTTGTTGAATATTCAACATTTTATTCAACGAAACTACTTTTCTTTTTCAATTACATAGAATACGTGAATGAATAATTAATAATTTTAAAATAGCAACTAATGAAAATCATTCCACTTATCTATGAATAGTTCAGAACTTTTAGAAAATATAAATTTATCTTTTCCACTTAAATAATTACACATCACTTGAACAATACAAAAGAAACTGATTTCAATTGCTTTGTAGAACGTGATCATTATTCAGTCAATTGTTCAATACATTTCGAAGCGATTTTTGTATAGATTAATTACATGTAGCCTTCTTTTAAAAAAATAAGTGAACTTGTTACAAAAAAACTTCTTATTCGCATAAATATTACTTTATTTGTTCATTGAAGTGAATAAGTGAAATTATGCATTCATTCTAAAAAAATTTCCAACGACCGAACCACATTGATTTATCATGCTGTTTCAGCCATAAAAAAAAATGGTAATCAAGAAAGAATATGGATGAAATAAAAAAAGAAAAAAAATGAAAAGAGTCATCTTCGGTTTCGTTTGTTGTTGAACTAACGTGATTTTTATTAATAAATATTTTCTTTTCAGCCAACCTGAAAATTATCTGTGTTTGCTTATATATATTTTTCTCTAAATTTTCATTAATACAGGAAATCATCAATTAAAATGGACTCCTTCTAAAGTAGCAATATGTGTAACAAAACGAGCATGTTTCTCAGTCATCATCAGTCTTGGAGAGCTTTCCTATTGAATAAGTTCATGTATGGTTAAAAACCATTTACAACTTCCTTATGGTAATAATCAGTTTTATAAAATAAAAACAATTGTTATATAAATTATGAATTGAATATGTCTCTGTGATTATTATTATTTTTCTTATATATAAACATATTCATGGTTAGCTCACTCTAGAATGAAACATCAACGTAGTACATAACTCTACAGACGCATTATTTAATGTCAGCCACTATTCAGACAAATGATAAGCGTTCAAATATTGGTTTCGTTGTTCACTTTTATTCAATTTTAGCCAGATTTTGTTTTACTCAATGCATTATTCAGTACTTCATGATTTGTGAATGATTCTATCAGTTGTATTTTACAGCACAGATGAAACTGGGAACTTGGAGAGTAAGCAAACATACAGATAATGAAAATGCCGGACATCAAATTGATTGGATTATCCAGTCGATCATATTTGAACTGGAATTCGATCACTGTTGGTTAACATTTGTGCGTTTTATGCGAACTGTCTCAATACGGCCTTTGGAACACAGTTCAGTATAAAACGGATGGAACGTAGCTAAGTCCGTGTCCTGAGTCTAACACTGAAGTAACCACTCAGGACTATTATACATTCACAGAGACTGATATATACAGATGATTGCTAGTAAGGAATTCACTAATGAGGAAACTACATATACTTATTCATTTCTGTTGAAATCTAGCCAAATTTCGTTTAATTATATGCATTATTAATATTCCGTGCTGTGTGATTGATAAGGTTTACCTATAAACAAGTTGCTGACTAGGACGAGACGGCCCTCCAATGCTTCCAGGTTCCTAATCGTGATCTGACAATGAGCGAATCATGGTTTTAATGAAACTCAACAATATTCACTCTTTTAGTTATGAAACTCAAAAATCTTCACCACCCAGTAATAAAAATGATATATTTACCAATCTATTTACTGGTAAAAACAAATCACTTGTTCCCTTCACTCTTTCAATCATGTTCCAAGTGTGAATATATAATTCTTTTTTTCCGGTAATTGTTACCTTATTGTCATGATTTCACTGATTACAGAATCTATTGTAAATATTTTCTTTGTTAATTGAAGTTATAACAATTTCAGAGGATAAGTCATCATAGTTATATTTTTTTCTACCGAAAAGAATTTCAATAGGGCTTGCAATTCACTAAACTTTGATATAAAAAATGAATTTATATTGAGTAGAAAATGTTACTAATGTTACTAGTTGGTTTGTGTTCTATCATCACTTACCAGTTATTGTTATCATCAACCGTATTACAAATGAACCGGAGGTTGTTCTGTTGCTGACTCTACATTGTTGATTAGCAGGCATTAAAAGAGACGTTTATTCAAAATCAATCCTGAAAAATAAACAGCTCTTTGCTTAGATAACCTATTTAAAATAATCATAGCTCACTAGAAAAATCTTGATAAAACCTATTGATTGATTGAATTTAACGTTATCTTAGTAGCATATCCATGTAAGCGAAAATTTCGGATAACTGATTCCTGATCAAACTGTTGTATTACAATATCACGGGGGCCGGGTTACTGGTACCCTCCAGCTCTTAACGACTGTTCAATTTATTATGGCGAATACTGAGATAATTTAATTGAATGATAACTTTTGAATTTAAGTAAAAAACGCATTATTTTAATCGAGAAATAATGATCACCTATAACACAAGTATAACATCATCTTATTTCAAAAGTCAATTATTTAAAATTGTAAATAGTCCAAAGAAAATATTTTGTATCACATAATTCATTTTTCATAATAATCTAACAGTATAAATTATTTTACTTCCAAATGTTGACAATAAATGCAACAAATAAATTTACCGGTAGAAATTTGAAAAAATAAACAGAAGAATTTTATGTTTTCAAAATAAAGCAAATTTCTCAAAATTAAACGGGAATGGAATAAAACATTGATCATTCGTTTTCATTGATTTCTATTTCAATGTTTGGTTGTCCTCAACGTGATCTCATTCTTCTTAATATTTATGCATACACATACACACACTCACTCATTTGCAGACAGTCAGAATGCAATTGCATGTATAATTAAACACACACAAAAATGACTCTGCCTTTTTATTTTTGAAATTCAAAAACTCACTTGCCTAGTAGAGAATGAACAACAACCAACTCGAATAATATGAACAGTGTATTCTTTCTCAAGTAAATGCTTAGTAGAATGATGAATACTTGTCACGCAATCTCATCTTATTTCTTTCAGTGAAATAAAACACAACTGACTATAAAATGATGAGATGTGGATAAATAATAATGCAGAGGTGAATGAAAGTATGATGATGATGAGGAAGAGGAGCAGTAGTAGAGGATTTTCGAAAGACACAATTTGCT